ATCACAAATTAATTAATAAACTGTACATTCCAATTTACTTTACTCTTGATCAAAGGGCAGATCACTCTGCATAAAAATATCACAAAATCAGAACTTTTTAGTGTGCAGTGTATAGAGGGCTCTTGAGAACTAGGTTATCTGTAGAACTATTAAAACATGAATTAATTGATATTAAAAATTTCATTTGTAATTATCGTGAAGTGTGAAAAAAAGTGGCTTGTCTCTTTTCATTCATGTGTCCATCGAGATATAGAAGATAATTGATTGTGCAAGGAAGATCCCGGGGGTATATTGTTTTTTTTCCTGTCTGTCTGTTTGTCTGTCTGTTGTCAACTTTAACCTTGCCCATAACTTTTGACAATACATGTGTATTCCTTGTGACAAGACCTGTCTTTGGGTACCATCATATTTGACCTTGACCTTGGAGTTTGACCCATTTTTGCAAAATTGTACGAGACTTTAATCTTGGCCATAGCTTCTGAACTGTTGGTGCTTGGGGTTTCAAACTTCATATGTGTATTCTTTGTGACAAGGCCTTCCTTTGGATATCAAACTCTTTGACCCTTTGACCTTGACCTAGGAGTTTGACCTACTTTTAAAAAAACTTTAACCTTGGCCATAACTTTTGAATGGTTGGAGCTAGGGCTTTCATACTTCACATATGTAATCCTTGTGACAAGACCTTTCTTTGGATACCAACCACTTTGACCTTGGAGTTTGACCTACTTTTGAAAAACTTTAACCTTGGCCATAACTTTTGAACAGTTGGTGATTGGGATTTCAAACTTCACATGTGTGTTCCTTGTGACAAGACCTTCCTCTGGATATCAACCACTTTGACCTTGACCTCGTACTTAATTTTAAAAACCTTTAACCTTCACCATAACTTTTGAACAGTTGCAGCTAGGTCTTTCAAATTTCACAGGTATATTCCTCGAGACAAGACCTTTCTTTGGGTACCAACATTTTTTATCTTTTGGCCTGGATTTTGACTTGCATTTGAGAAACTTTAACCTTCGCCATAAGCTGTCATACTGGGGCATCAGTGTTTCACAAACACATCTTGTTTTTTTCATATTACAATACCTGTGATCATCTGTTTTGGTCAGGGAACCCACACGCACCTGACAATTGTATTCACCGATAGTACAACAAAGGAATGCAGACGAAAAGCGCCTTAGTTACAGTATGACTTCGAGAAACCTAGAAGTCCACGTTTAATAAACGTGTTACAAATGAATTGTTTGTAATTGTCAGCATGGAAATAATAGAATAAAAATGGACAGCACGGAAAAGCATGCAAATGCATGGAAAAAAAATGTCGTATGTGCCTTTTCGATCGCCTTGGTTTTTTTAAGCGTAAAATTCCTGTAGTATCCGTAATAACCCACAATGTAATTCAACTCATTCAGATTAAGCTATATTGGTACCCCATTTGCTACATGTACTCTGACGCCAAAAAATATAGTCCCATTTCACATGCAAGCATGTTTGTCCAAAAAGTGCAGAAAATAATGCAATGAAGAATACTTATTGACGTTTGAATGAATTCAAGAGGGATTAAAATACATTTTTACATATATTATTCAGTGGTGAAAAATGAAACGCAAGATAACTTTTCCATCTACCATGTCTCCACGTGCTAGTCACTTCCTAGACACATTTCCGTGAATAATTTGCCTTATCTCGTTGTAGTCTCACTAGGTATCGCCAGAGCTACGGTGAGAGCTACTGGGAACTCCTCGGATTTTATAATTTGCAGAACACCGAAAAATAAAATGTTCCGAACACATTAGCAGGGGTGTGCTGAATACTATCATTTATGTAGTAAATCCAAAAAAAAGAATCCTAAAAAAAAAAAAAAATAAAAGGATCGACCAGGATTTGAACCCGGGGCCTCTCACATGCTACATGAGAGTCATACACCTAGACCACGGAGGCACTTGATTATACACAAAATTAAATGCAAACATTAGGTCACATATACCGGTAATCATCTTTATATTCACGTTCGATATTGTCAAAATTTTACACAATACATGGTGTCTAATTAAGCCTTTACTAAACAGTTCTAATAGATGTAATTAGAATATAAAGTCCGCCGACAACCTGTATTATACGTAATAACTCTCCAGATGCCCCTTTGCTAAAAATAGTGTCAAGCGACTTTTAATACAATAAATTAAAAAAAAAAACGGGACAGGACACTTTGAGAGGGGTGAGAGAGGCCAAAGGGTGTTATGATATAAAAATTTCATTGCAAAAGCTTCTTAAGATATCGCCCGGAAACGAAAGTGTTACACACAGACGCAATTTATGAATTTACGACCTTGAACTATGACCTTAAAATCAATAGGGGTCTTCCTTAGGCCACAGGAAATTGTTACGTTAAATTTCATTGCAAAAGCTCAAAGAATTCGCAAGATATCACGAGGAAACAAAAGTGTTAAAACAGAATTTTTGAATTTATGACCTTGACATTTGACCTTTTGACCTCAAAATCGATATGGTTCTTTTTTTAGGCTATACGAAGTTGCTATGCAAAATTTCAATTGCGAAAGCTCAAAGGGTTCTCGAGATATTGCGTGGAAACGAAAGTGTTACAGACAGACAGAAATACAGACGGACGGACGGACAGTCAGACCCAAATTAATATCCCCCACTTTCAGTGAAAGCAGGGGACAACAAATTCCTAAATATCAACCGACGGACTTTAAAAACTGTCTGCAGATTGTCGGAGGATGATCGAAGGTTGGTTGACGGCCTATTTAATGACTGCTTCGATTGAAGGAATTGGCCACTGACGCAGAAAAAATTATAACTTGACCGACTGACACAAAATTGAATGGCTGAAGACAAAAGAGGTCAAAAGCGGGCAAGAATCCCATTTTTGCATAAAAGCAGTAGGCCGTCGATCGTTTTTGGAAATGTTTTAGTCTTGTGATATTTCCCTCTTTAATTGTGCTATAAGGACAATTATTATATCTCATTATAATTATTCTATACAACGTGTTATCTGATTGGTTCTAGAGTCACGTGACAGGACCATAAAATTTCATATTTCCTTATTGTTGGCTTTTCATCATATTCAGCCCTTTTGGAAGATGAAAAATTATATCTCAACTATAACAAAATTTTCTTTGATATTTCATCAAACATTAAAGTATACTTTATGTAAAATCTCCATAATTTGCAAAAATTAAAAAAAAAAAATGAAATTATTTGTCTACGAAATAACAATTTTTCCTTTGAGTGGGTCTTCGCTCCATTTCTTTGAAAGTTTATCCTCTCAGTTTGCATAAAAATATTTTTTTGGTTAATAAAAACAGGGAACAAAGACCCACCATACCTTAAAAATACACTTTTATGACACATTTGTATCTTTCCGAGAAATACTTGAAGTCCATTTAGTCAAGGGTCATATCACAAACATTACCATTAATCAGGATTTGTTTCGGTGTTAGTCTCAAAGGAAATGATACTCGGGACTTTTACTTAGGTCCGAACTCCAATACCAAATTATTTTTTAACAATAAATTTTGTTGAGAAAATTTTCCTCTGGAAAAATTTTGTTTGTCATTATTTAAAAAAATTAAATAACGGAAACTTTACTCAAAATACTAAATTCACAAAATATGGTTTTTATGTATCTCAGCTATGAAGCTATAGGCATTCTGCCTGCCTTGTTTGCCCAACACCTTCGCATATATTAGTTACTGCAGAGTACTGGTAGCATTCAAATATTCTGGATGCAGTAGCGAACTTTTTCAACTTAGCTTCACTGTCTAAGGCTGAAATCTTGATATATATATATATATATATATATATATATATATATATATATATGGTCTGCTGCTTCTGTGTGATATTAATGTCCAAAAACAGGAAAATATTTGGGTCACATTAATATCTGGACATTGAATTTCAAATAAAATGATTCTGGTCCATTTCTCAACATTTGGATGTAACATTGACAGGGAATACGGGTAGGCCCAACCGCTGTCTTATTTTGAATTTTCAATTATGATATCTAATATTCTTTAGTTTGTTTGTTTGTTCTTTGCATCCCTATCGAGAATTTTTCAATCATATGGAAACGCCACCACTTGCCGATGGACAGCTGTCAATTTTTACCTATACTTGGCACTGAGGGCCATTGAGCAGTGAGGGGTCTTTTTCGTGCCAGCTCCTACTGCGACACAGGACCTCGGTTTATACGGTCTAATCCGAAAGACCGGTCTACACATCCCGCAGTGGGATTCGAACCCGCGATGTAATGATCAACTTATCATGTTCTAAATTTTGAATTTATCGGGTGGGAGTAAATACAAAATTTTACTCCCACCTGGTAAATTCAAAATTTAGAACATGACAAATTCCAGACATCGCGACTCTAGAGCATACACTCTAACCACTGTGCCACGTGGGTGACCTAATATAGATAATGAAAGAATATTATATTTGGTAATTTTCAGAATTTCAGGTAATGCAATGCAGCCAAAATTAGTTTGGTAATTATATGAGGCTCTACTACTTTCCATTCCCTCTTTCTATTGTAGCCTCATTGTGGCTCAAAAACCTATAATCTAAATCTACCCTATATAGAGAAGCTTTAATACCAATTAAAAAAATTCTGTTCCAGCAGCTCTCGACAGTTATAATAATTTATGCCAGATAATTTCAGCACAAGTACATATACATCTAAATTAAATATCATTAACAATAGTCTATTTATATATCTAATGAGATATATTAATGACAATGTTTTCAACCTGCCCTTGAAAATTCATCTATCAACATATTGTTAAACTAAATATATTCTTTACAATTTTTTTCCTTAATGGAATCTATATATGAATTCAGATGAATTGCCTGTACAGCAAAGTTTGATTTTAACATATTTTGGCAAAGACCCCTGGAATGTTAGTCCGCATTTGTAGACTTTCATCTTATCCTTAATGGAAAAATAATTGGCATGTTGGGAAGGAGAATGAACTAAATGACTGCAAGACAATTTTATTAGCCTGAAATCATGGAATAGAAATGCATTTTCAAGCAATATTTTTTTAAGCTGCTACTAAAACTATTTTTCTTATAGATTTCCCATCAAAGATTGCAATAAATGTCAAATCATATTGGCAATGAAGTGCTGCAAAGAAACAATTTGTTAACGCTGGACGAACTTTCTGTACTTTAAGTCGATGAATGAAGTCTGAGCTCTCTTCTCTAGTTCTGCCAACTCTTTCACAGCTGGTGCCAATGATGCTGCATGTCCCATGTAAGTTCCACCTTAAAAACAAATAGCAAGTTCCACCTTAAAAACAAATAGTAAGTTCCACCTTAAAAACAAATAGTAAGTTCCATCTTAAGAACAAATAATAAGGCTTTTTGTCATAAATGGTGCAAAGAATATAACACATGTAAATCTAATACGAGTTGATTCTTAATTATAAGGCTCATCATCCACTATCACTGAAATGATATTTTGCTTTTAACCTTTTTTTCTACCTGATCAATACATACATGTAGGGCTCACGGCAGGTGTGATCAGTCAACAGGGGATGCTTACTCCTCCTAGGCACCTAATCCCACCTCTGGAATTTCCAGGGGTCCCTGTTTAATGCCCTCTTCACATATTTGAATTTTTCTGAATATTTTGAGATCAATCACTGTGCGTTATCTTTTATAAATTTACCTTTTACATTACAGAATAATGCACCTTGATTTTTCTTAACTTGTTGTATATAAACTACATAAAAAATGTAAGAGTTTCTAAGAATTTCAACAGAGTACTCAATTTTAGTAAACATTGCAACATCAATGAAACAAAGTTTTATTATACCTCTACTGAGTATTTCCATACAATAAAAAAAATCAACAATTGAACAAAATCTATTTCCCTAATCTCGATTATTATAATCTGAACTACTACCACCTGCAAAAAGAGGCCAACTCGCTGCAAAGGACTCCTTTGTGAAAATTTAAAAGCAGTTTTTTTTTTTAAATTATAAACTGAACCAATAAAAAAATAAAATAAACTTTCTTTTATATTTCATTAAATTTATTTTTTAACTCGAATTGTAATAATTCTTTTCCTATTGCTTATGACAAATAGATCACAACAGACTTCATTGGAACTAAATGCCTTTAACATTCATAGATCAAAATTCATTTTAGTACAATCATGTTTTATCACATGGGATTGTTGTACTAAACACTGGATTTAATGAAATTGAGGTAAGGTAGTTTAATCCTCAGGTTCTGAAAATCAGGAATCAAATAATCAGAAATTCTCAAAGAAATGTCTCTGAATTCACAAAGTAATGTGCATTTACCCATGGTATTTCTTCAAAGTTCATTTTTATAGTTAATCATATTTCATAAGGAGAATAAGGAAATATGAAAATATTTTTTTCTGGGAACACAAATAAAAGCACCAGCTTTGCATTTTTGTTTCTAAGACTTCCAAAAGCCTTGAGTTGTATGAAATAAAAATTGTTGCATAAAAAGATTTCAATTTGAAATTTTATTTTGAGACCTTTTTAATAAAATAATATTTTTAAGAGTTATTGTTCCTGGCTGAGGATCCCTGCAGTTGTAAAATGATCTATAGTCAAGTTTCCTTCAGTTAAAATCAAGTTTATCCTGTGATAAATTAAATCTCACATGATTCAGCAATTTACCACAAAGAGATCAGTTGGTGATCATTCCAACAATGAAATATAGTACTTTCACAGAAACTTGATGATGATGATGCTTATTATAACAGGGTTCTTCAACAGAACTATCAAATCTGTAAGAGGAAGGACTGAAATCTGATAAAAAAAAAAAGCTCTTTCATATATAAACACAATAATAATATTGGCTTTTGCATTTATCATCCTGAAAAAATACGGTTTTCACAAAGTGCACAAAGTGTAATAGTATACAGTTATTAATAAAATATACCATTGAAGGAGATAACAAGATTTCACTTCCCCAAGGTCAAGACTATTTGATGAGACAAAGCCAATATCTCCTATCCTTTTTGTAATGGGTATGGGGATGATGACCTGGGGCCCATTTTACAAAAGAACTGTTGACTAAGACCAAAAAATTCAGTTAATTGTAACATTTTGCAAAATCAAAGATTCTGTCTAAAATTGCTAGCATAAAAATATCTTTCTACATTCCTTTTAAAAAGATTAAAACCATTTTCAATTTAGCGAAAATTAGAAAGTTATGAGCAAAATTAAATGTCTAATTAAATTAAATCTATTTAATTAAAGGTCTAAGTCGTAAGTTCTTTAGTAAAACAGGCCCCAGAACTGCAGAAAGAGAAACAAGAGGGCCAAGGATGGACTCGGGGGTTTATCATCCACCAATCAGAGGCTTTATGGATGATCTCACAGTGACAACAAAGACTCGTATACAGGCAAGATGGGTCCTATCAGCATTGGAAGATAGTGTTTCCTGGCCACGCATGAAGTTCAAACCAAAGAATTCCAGATGTCTCCTATTGAGGTAGGGGCGTATCAACAGGCTAATCAAGATGAAAATTCAAGGAGAGGAGATCCCATCTATAGTAGGAAATCCAATTAAATGCTTGGAAAAGTGGTTTAATGAATCCCTCAAAAAAATAGATAGGACAGAAAGAAGAAGCTCCTTTCTTGGCTAAAAATGGTTGATGGAAGCGGATTATCTGGGAAATATAAGGCATGGATTTACCAGCATGGGATTCTACCATGACTTATGTGGCTGCTCCTCATATATATGAAATTGCAACTACTACAGTCTAAGCCATGGAAAGGAAAGTAAGTGGGTATCTGAGGAGATGGCTAGAAGTTCCACCATCATTTACATCTATTGGACTCTACATCAACTCAACTCAATTACGCATACCAGTTTCCATTGTGGTGGAAGAATTCAAGGTAGCAAAATGCCACTTGTTAATGACGTTACGTGACTCAGCAGACGACAGGATCGCAGAAACAGGGATCCAGACAAGGACTGGAAGAAAGTGGTCAGCAAAAACATCAGTGGACCAAGCAGAGAGTATGTTTATTTACAAAACATCATTGGAAACACAAGCACTGGGCGACAGGGAATGTCACATTTCCAGCAGTGGTCAAAAGCATCAGCAGCACAGAGGCACACCATGGTTCAGGCAGAAGTACGGTGCACTGAGGAAGATTAAGGGAAAGCAAGATCAACAGAACCTGGAAAACTGGGGTCTGGATGAAGTGGGACTTACTGGGGCTGGAATGAACCTGGGCAGAACTTTGGAGGAAGGACCAGTTTAGAATCTCTTTCCTGCTGAGGTCAGAGTATGACACACTCTCATCTCCTGTAAACTAAGTGAAGACCCTAGCTGCAAGCTGTGTGGTAAGAGAGGAACCATGGCACATATTCTATCAGGATGCCAATTGGCGCTGACCCAGGGGATATATATGGCGACACAACAAAGTCCTGCGGGAGTTGGCTGATGTATGGCGGAGAGGAGAAGGAAACAACCATCAGACAAGAAACAAACACAGATACAGTTTGTGAGACAAGGAGAAGCAATGGCTGACACAAGAGCAGCAAGGCAGACATCAGTGCTGGATATTGGACATGACTAGGACCTCAGAGTGGATCTAGACAGGAAGTTAAATTTCTCTAACATCATGGAAATCAACCTATGACTGGATGCAGTATTAGTGTCCCAGAAGTCAAAGATGTTGGTTGCAATAGAGCTGACGGTGCCATGGGAAGAAAACTGTGAGGAGGCACATGAGGGGAAGAGCTTTAAATGTGCAGACCACATGGCAGACTGCAAGAATAGAGGATGGAGCGTTTGGCTGCTTTCTACAGAGGTCAGCTCTCAGGATTAGGTGTATCAGAAAGAAAATGCCAAACAGCAATAAGAAGCCTGAGAGAAGCAGCAGAGAAGTTATCCTGCTGGAAATGGCACCGCCGAGATGATCTGTGCTGGAAGTCGGGATCCACCGAATAGTGGATTGGCCACCACTGTTGATCCATCTAATGGAGGATGTCATGGTTTAGAGTCAAAGCATCCAGTGAAGGTTGTAGACCATCTGAAGACAATCGGAACTGACAGGCAAGCACCAGGGGCAGCACTGACATATAGCGATAGGCATGCATAAGAGTGCCAAGCTGACAGATAGCAGAAATCCATCTTCCGTAAGTGCATACTAAATGATATACTTTTTAACTGTTTTATTATCCCGATACTAATTTTGAAGCAGGGATTAGTTCACCTGACTAACACAGGACAAAATGATGATTATTAATTAGTCCATTCATAGCAATACTGACACAAATTTTGAGGTAGGGATTAGCTCACTTGACTAACACACCACAAAATGGAAATTAGTCCATTCACAGTGATTTCTAGGGTATTTTTAACATGTAAGGCTAACTTTAAAATAATGTTTGTTTACCCTCTCCCGAATCAGGATGAAAACTTTGGGTCGGTAGGTAGCTGAAAAATTTTTTCACATGAAAAAATTCAAATCAATGCTGATTTTCAAAATCTATTTTCCTGAATGCATAAAAAAATTAATTGTTTCCTGGAGGTTAAAAAAAGTTTTGACTCGGCCATTTTAAGCCAGTCAGTCAGGAGAGGGCAACCAATTTTTTAAAGATGGCCTAATGATCTAATTTTATGTACAAAAATTTGTAAAATTATAATAATAAAAACCAATTACTGTTGTTATTTTTTCACCACTTCACTTTGATAAAATAAATCTGAAATATTGTTTGGGTCCATAAACTTGACTACACAAGTGGATAGCATAGAAAACAATGTAATCCATGAACTTTTTAATACATGGAAAATATTTCGTGTCAAGAACATTCACATTCCTTTTTCTTTATTTTTACTATGTTCAAGAGTAATTCGATTTATGCAAATACATAGGATGGAATTTTTTTAATACATGCGAAAAGGAATATGGAAAAAAAAACCTCTCTATCTAAATGTAATATTTTTAAACTGTTTAGAAGAAAGAAATGCATGATTGCTTTTTTGAGTAATAAGGTAAAATATGTCATGCCTAACAAAAATGCTGACATAGCAACCTTAAATAAGTGAAAAATTGAAGGATTTTACACACTTCCTTTCGAAGGGGTGAAATAAAATTTCATGTTTAATTTAAAAACTGCAAGCATTTCAAGAGGAAAATCCCTTTCACTTACCAGTATTTTTGTGTTTCTGTCCGTAAGTCACTTTACCATCAAACTCATTGACAGGAACTTTCATTTTCGGATCCACCTTGTCAATAGTGATATCTAGATGTTCCTGTACATCCTCAAGTAACTACAAACAAACAAACAATAGTGATATCTAGATGTTCCTGTACATCTTCCAGTAACTACAAACAAACAATCAATAGTGATATCTAGATGTTCCTGTAAATCCTCTGGTAACTACAAACAAACAATCAATAGTGATATCTAGATGATCCTGTACATCCTCTAGTAACTACAAACAAACAATCAATAGTGATATCTACATGTTCCTGTAAATCCTCTGGTAACTACAAACAAACAATCAATAGTGATATCTAGATGATCCTGTACATCCTCTAGTAACTACAAACAAACAATCAATAGTGATATCTACATGTTCCTGTAAATCCTCTGGTAACTACAAACAAACAAACAATAGTGATATCTAGATGTTCCTGTACATCTTCCAGTAACTACAAACAAACAATCAATAGTGATATCTAGATGTTCCTGTAAATCCTCTGGTAACTACAAACAAACAATCAATAGTGATATCTAGATGATCCTGTACATCCTCTAGTAACTACAAACAAACAATCAATAGTGATATCTAGATGATCCTGTAAATCCTCTAGTAACTACAAACAAACAATCAATAGTGATATCTAGATGTTCCTGTATACCCTCTAGTAACTACAAACAGACAATCAATAGTGATATCTAGATGATCCTGTACATCCTCTAGTAACTACGAATAAACAATCAATAGTGATATCTAGATGTTCCTGTAAATCCTCTAGTAACTACAAACAGACAATCAATAGTGATATCTAGATGATCCTGTACATCCTCTAGTAACTACAAACAAACAATCAATAGTGATATCTAGATGTTCCTGTAAATCCTCTGGTAACTACAAACAAACAATAGTGATATCTAGATGTTCCTGTACATCTTCCAGTAACTACAAACAAACAATCGTGATATCTAGATGAACCTGTAAATCCTCTAGTAACTACAAACAAACAATCAATAGTGATATCTACATGTTCCTGTAAATCCTCTAGTAACTACAAACAGACAATCAATAGTGATATCTAGATGATCCTGTACATCCTCTAGTAACTACAAACAAACAATCAATAGTGATATCTAGATGTTCCTGTAAATCCTCTAGTAACTACAAACAAACAATCAATAGTGATATCTAGATGTTCCTGTACATCCTCTGGTAACTACAAACAAACAATCAATAGTGATATCTAGATGTTCCTGTATATCCTCTAGTAACTACAAACAAACAATCAATAGTGATATCTAGATGATCCTGTACATCCTCTAGTAACTACAAACAAACAATCAACAGTGATATCTAGATGATCCTGTAAATCCTCTAGTAACTACAAACAAACAATCAATAGTGATATCTAGAGTATCCTGTAAATCCTCTAGTAACTACAAACAGACAATCAATAGTGATATCTAGATGTTCCTGTACATCCTCTGGTAACTACAAACAAACAATCAATAGTGATATCTAGATGCTCCTGTACATCTTCCAGTAACTACAAACAAACAATCAATAGTGATATCTGGATGATCCCGTACATCCTCTGGTAACTACAAACAAACAATCAATAGTGATATCTAGATGTTCCTGTAAATCCTCTAGTAACTACAAACAAACAATCCAGTGTTTTCAATAAGAGCTGGCAACCGGCAAAATTAACCGCCTGTTCGAGAAATTTTGCCGGCTATGAAATTTCCGTAATTGGGATTTTGCCCAGGTTGCTACGCAAAATCCATCGATTCTGTCGCGACTATTAACATGATCTAGAGTAGCTTCCCTTGACTGTGCTCTTTTTCATTGAAGTTTGATTTGATCCAATACTTACAACTACTGAACACAAGGCTACAACTTGCGAGAGTAAAGTTTAAAGAATAATTTTTTATGAATAATTCCAACCTCATATAAAATTCACAACTCAACGATCGGGATTTAACTTTAGCTATACAGGATATGATCAAGATTATTGAGAATTTGGGGCTTCATTGACGCAAGCATCAGGTATCTACAGCCTCAAATTTCAAACAGGAAAATAAATGTCTTTTTTTAAACATTCATGGTCACTCCACAAGCTAGGTCAAGATTATTACAACAGCAAATATTTATAATCTAGATTGATATAATTTTAAGACTTTATGAATAAAAGTCTTACTTTTTTAATCGTGACTGAGACGTAGGACCAGGGACCTATATACTAACTAGTATATAGGTCCCTGGTAGGACATAGGAATTCTTACAGAATTTCCTCAAACTGAAAATGTAAATTTATATTCTTGTTTATTTGTGTTAGATCTCTTGAAATACAGGAACAGTTTAACTTTTCACATTTACCTTTACGAAGTTTTTTATGTAATAGTTATTTGTATTTGTATCCATATTCTTAATTATTTTGTTTTGACAATCTGTGCAAAATAGTAAATAAATTTAAAGGTTTATGATATTTTAGTTTAAGATTGCAGAGCAGAATATTTCAATTTGGGGGGGGGGGGGGGGGGGGGGGTTATTGTACGTCAATATGTGTTAAAAAGTTTTTAAATTTTTAAATAAATTATTTCCTTAATTTTGAATAATTTTCATGACCAGTTAATGTGAAAGGGACTAATTATATAGCATTTTCAGTATGAAATTCTAGCACAAACAATTGTCTGTGCTAGAATTTCATACTTAAGTTGTCTTAATGTTTTTACAGACACTTAGTTTTCAGGAAAAAAACTCAGTCTGTCAAAGTCCATATAACAAATCAGTGAAAGAGTACCAATTGTTTTCTAAATGGCATTATTAAGTAAAATTTGGTAATTGATAGTGACATAATGTGAAAAAACATGTTACTTTTTATTGGCCTGAGAGGTAATAAAAATGAGTCAAAAATGCCAATTTTCGTTTTCGGCCGGGGGCTTCACCTCCCTGGGCCCCCTACCAGGGCTCTGCCCTGGACCTGCTGGGGGCCTGAGGCGGCCCCAGACCCCTCGCTGAGATTGGTTTCCTGCTGTTCCAGATATATTTCCTTCTATTGAAAATCTTATTGAAAACACTGCAATCAATAGTGATATCTAGATGATCCTGTATATCCTCTGGTAACTACAAACAAACAATCAATAGTGATATCTAGATGTTCCTGTATATCCTCTAGTAACTACAAACAAACAATCAACAGTGATATCTAGATGTTCCTTTAAATCCTCTAGTAACTACAAACAAACAATCAATAGTGATATCTAGATGTTCCTGTACATCCTCTGGTAACTACAAACAAACAATCAATAGTGATATCTAGATGTTCCTGAACATTTTTCAGTATCTACAAACAAAACAAATAAATTATCAAACAGCTAATTATTCAGAGTGATGACCTCTGCTTGTCAATAGTGATATCTAGATGTTCCTGTACATTCATTAGTAACTACATACAGAAACAAAAAAAAATCATCAAACAGCTAATTACTCAGAATGATGGCCTTTGCTTGTCACTGGGCTCAAAATTCCTGTACATCAACATGAGTGACTTTATACTTCTTGACGGATATTTAATTACTGTAAGATGCACTGATTGAACCAGAAGATACCACTAGATATGACAGTAAAAAACATTCATCCTCCAATGTTTGACAAAAGGGTGAGGTTATTATTCCATCGTGCAACAAGTTGTAAAGGGGATGTAGCACTGCCTATGTATGTATAAGGGTATGTTAGTGTGTGGGTTTCTCTGTGTACAAATTTGTAAGCAAGAGTGAGAGAACCCCAGTGTTTAGGATTATTAAACTTTGCATAATTCTTTCTTATTGTAATAGGTCAACCTCTATCATTTTTCAAATTGGTGAATTGGTAATTACAACTCTCATATTTATGTGCAAGATAACCAAACTGAATAATAAACAAGAGGCCCACGGGCCTTATAGGTCACCTGAGTATCATACAACAACTTGCACACAATTGAATTGGGTACATGTTTTAAACCAAAGGCCATGAAATTTACAATTTTGAAAGGGGTACCCTTGCTAATCATGACTACATACTTAGTTTGTTTACTTAATACCCAGAAGCAGAGAAGAGAGTTATCAAAGTAATAATGCATTTTCACTAATTATAATAAGTAGAGCCCCCATCCCACAGGAACCCCTGACCCTGGGGCAACACATTTCACAATTTTGGAAGAGGGACCCTTGCTTACCATAACTTTGCATTTAGTTTCTTCACTTAATACCCAGGAGCAGAGGAAAAGATTTCTAAAGCATTAATGCATTTTCACTATATAATCATTAGAGCTCCTCCTAAACCAGAACTCCTGGGTTATAACATAAGGTCATTCCACCTTTGTTGAGGTGAGCTATGAACCCTGAAAATTAATACATGAATTTGCATTTAAAGTTTTAAATTTCCCAGGTATTTGTTATCCATACCTTTGGTTCATCATACCAGATACAGCATCCCCCGTGGTCCGTTAGGTTTGTGTTGTAACAGCCCCTCCCTTTCGTGTTACAGTTAGAGTGATACCAAACCTATAAAAAAATATTCAGTTTTATTATTCCACCAGACTGTCTCAAGTTCATCCTTTATAAATAAAAAGACTTTCTGCATAATATGAAAGCTGCTTTAATTCTTTGTTGACTTAAATTTGATACATGTAATTATAGCCGGATGTTGCAATCCTCAGCACTTCTGTTATAGCATTATGCCTTTCCTAAATAAACTACATTATTATAACAAAATATGTTACAGATTACAAATTTGTCACGAACCCCACAGATGGATATGGTTCTTCATGAAGTAATATAACGCAGATTTCTAAATGAGATTAGTAAAATTAATTACTTCATAATATTTAAATGATCTGTTCTTGTTACAAGCAAGAAATACCATAAATGAATAATAATATCCCCCCCCCCCCCCTTGAACAAAAAAAATTCTGCCCAACAATCTACCAAAAAATTTAACATCTATACATTAGCAGTCATGATTTAGTATCCATTATAGAATTACATTGTCCTCTGAGTGAACCTAGGTATGAAAGGATAAAACAAAATGTGCAGTGGGAAGTAATAAATTTGATTGCTAATGAAACGTAATAAACTATTTCTCTCTTTTATATTAATATTGTCTGCACACATCCAGAGTTGAAAGTCCTGGTTTTAAAGAATATACATCCATATTTTGTCACAGTACTGCATTTGGTAATGCTGAATTAGCAGACAGATTGGTCAATAATCTAGAGTGTTCAGGAATCTAGAGAAAACAAAACACAAGTATGTAACTTGCAACAAGGAGTTCCTGGACTCACAATAATGCTTGAATCTGCATCCTAGATATAATAAAAATTTAAATTTCAAGCAGCATGTCTAACATTAATGAGGCTGCTACCGTAATCAAATCGATTTTTATGCCCCTTGACCTTAGAGTTTGACCCACTTTTAAAAAACTTTAACCTTGGCCAAAACTTTTGAACAGTAAGTACTAGGGCTTTCAATTTTCACATGTATATTCCTTGTGACAAGACCTTTCTTTGGATACAAACAATTTTGACCTTTTGACCTTGACCTTGGAATTTGACCTACTTTTGAAAAACTTTAACCTTGGCCATTACTTTTGAACAGTTGGTGCTAGGGCTTTTATATTTTGCATGTTTATTTCTTATGACAAGATCTTCCTTTGTCTACCATTAATTTTGACTCTTTGACCTTTACCTTGGTGTTTGACCCATTTTAGAAAATGTTAACCTTGACCATAACTTTTGAATGATTAATTGGTCATATCCATTGACACAAATCCTTTCTTTATGTAACAACATTTTTGATCTCTTGACCTTGACGTTTGACTTGCATTTGAGAAACTTAAACCTTAGCCATAAGCTGTCATATGGGGGTATCAGTGTTTGTTTTCTTATGTATACAACCCCATAAAATCTTTGATCACCTGTTATGCTCCCCTAGTTAAAGAGGGTGGGGGCATGATTTGAACAAACTTGAATCTACACCACATGGGGATGGTTCAATATAAATATGACATTTTGTGGGCCCGCTGTTCTTGAGAAAAAAGTTTTTAAAAAATTTGGCTGCAAATGTCATAGTTTAAATTTGACCCTTAATATAATTGTGATACCACCTTTTCTGGACCAGCATTTTTATGTTCTTTAATTATTTATTATTATTCATTTATTTAGGATATGCCCTTTTATTTGAAAGACCATCACCAAAGGTCATTTGTGGCAAGTGGTAAAATTGGTAATTCTGGAAAAGAAGTCAAAAAATCTGAAAAGTATATGGACATCAAATACCACTAAACACATGATAGACAGACAGATGACTAATAGACCTTTTTGATTAGAAGCTCACCTTTAGCTCAGGTGAGCTAAGTTTAATAAACTTAATTATTGAAAGAAAAAGTGAGCAAGCTCACATACCCCCGCTCCCCCAGAACTCGACAATGCAACATGTAATGAATGGCACAGTGCATTTTAAATACACAGTTTAATTCAAAAAGGGGCATTACTTGCAAAAAATCATCACATCAAAACTTCTTGCATATAAGGACATTCAAATCTTTGTATGTTACAAATTTAATTGGGCTGAAGTTTCTAAATAAATAATGGAATCAAAATTTCTTGGTAATATACAAATCTATGCATTATGTATACCTACAAAGTTTCAGGAAATTCAGTGCAGGAGTTATGCTGACAAACTGTTATTTAAATTCCTCTGTCAGTGATTTCGATTTTTGTTAATGAGTGCAAGTCCATGTCCAACACGTGACAATTTACACATTTAAATAATTGATGGAAACAAAATTATGATGTAGTCATATGAATTTGTTTATATACTGTACTTATGAAATTATTTAAGGCAAAGCACCAATTTGAAGGGGGAGGGGGGTTGAGAACTATCCAAGATTTTGTGTGTGTTAAATCATTAATATTTTGATCTCAAAATCAATAGGGGTCTTTTAAGGTCATAAAATATTTCACAATTCCAGTGGATTTCCTTATTACCTAGCTGGAAAGTTTCTTCAATAATAGGCAAACCTCTAAAGGCAAAAATAATGGAATCGAAATTTCCTGGTAATATGCACATCTACACACTGTGTACTAAATATCTGCAAAGTTTAACCAAATTCTGTGCAGCAGTTTAAGAGGAGTTGCACTAACAAACTGTTCATCTCTTTATTCAAGATATGGCCAAAAATCTAAGTTGAAAAGTACCGAAATTCCCAGAAAAATAACGGAATCGGAATTTCCTGGTAATATGCACATCTATACTTTGTGTCCTAAATATCTGCAGAGTTTGACGAAATTCTGTGCAACGGTTTAAGAGGAGTTGCGCTGACAAACTGTTCATTTCTATATTCAAGATATGGCCAAAAATCTAAGTTCAAAAGTGCAAAAATTCCCAGAAAAATAAAGGAATAGGATTTTCTGGTAATATGCACATCTACACATTGTGTGCTAAATATCTGCAAAGTTTAACCAAATTCTGTGCAGTAGTTTAAGAGGACATGCGCTGACAAACTGTTCATCTCTATATTCAAGATATGGCCAAAAATCTAAGTTGAAAAGTGCCGAAATTCCCAGAAAAAATAAAGGAATCGGAATTTCCTGGTAATATGCATATCTACACACTTTGTGCTAAATATCTGCAAAGTTTGATGAAATTCTGTGCAGCGGTTTATGAGGAGTTGCGCTGACAAAAAAACAGGACTGACAGACTGACTGACTGACACACTGACTGACATACGGGTCAAAAATATTATACCTCACGCAACTTGTTGCGTGGGGTATAACAAGAGGCCCAGGAGCCATATCGCTCACCTGAGCACTCTGGCTAGGAAAAAGCAGAAATCAGTTGAGTCTTGAAAAGTTTTGATATAAAAGTGGTTCGAGGGGGGGGGGTTGGGGGGGGGTTAAGTTTGAACTTGAATCTATACTTCAAAGGGATGCTTTTGAATTAATATGACAAATAATGGCTATGCTGTTCTTAGGAAGACAATTTTTATTGATATATCATCTGTATTCCTTTGTATAACTATGATCCCTTGTTATGGCCCCTCTATTCTCCTGGGGGGGTCATGATTTGAACAAAATTTGAATCTACATTACCTGAGGATGCTTGCATTTAAATATGACTAATTATTGCTTTGCTGTTCTTCAGAAGAAGATTTTAAAAGGCTTGCTTTTTCCTATGTATTCCTATGTAAAACTTTGATCACCCATTGTGGCCCCACCCTACCCCTGGGGGGACATGATTTAAACAAACTTGAATCTACACTTCCTGAGGATGCACCCATTAAAAAAAACCAATCATGGCTTTGCTGTTCTTGAGAAGAAGATTTTTAAAGAGTTTTCCTATATATTCCTATGTAAAACTTTGATCGCCCATTGTGGCCCCACCCTACCCCCTGGGGTCATGATTTGAACAAACTTGAATCTACACTACCTGAGGATGCTTCCATATAAATATGACCAATCATGGTTTTGCTGTTCTTGAGATGAAGATTTTTAAAGAGTTTTCCTATATATTCCTATGTAAAACTTTGATCGCCCATTGTGGCCCCACCCTACCCCCAGGGGTCATGATTGGAACAAACTTGAATCTACACTACCTGAGGATGCTTCCATATAAATATGACCAATCATGGCTTTGCTGTTCTTGAGAAGAAGATTTTTAAAGAATTTTCCTATATATTCCTATGTAAAGCTTTGATTGCCCATTGTTGCCCCACCCTACCCCCGGGGGTCATGATTTGAAGAAACTTGAATCTACACTACCTGAAGATGCTTCCATATAAGTTTCATATTTTCAAGCACAGTGGTTCTTGAGAAGAAGATTTTTAAATGATGCCATTAATTTTTCATGAATTCATAATTATCTCCCCTTGGAAGAAGGCGTGGCCCTTCATTTGAACAAACTTGAACCCCCTTCACCCAAGGATACTCTGTGCCAAGTTTGGTTGAAATTGGCCCAGTAGTTCTGGAGAAGAAGATGAAATTGTGAAAAGTTTACAATGACAATGACAACAACGCCGCCAACAGACAACGGACAAATTTTGATCAGAAAAGCTCACTTGAGCCTTTGGCTCAGGTGAGCTAAAAATGCTTCAGCACATTTCAAAGATGTTTGCAAGCTGTACAACTGCTACACAGGAACAGACAGCAGCAGGTCTCCTGTTAGACTCGTGGGACTTTACTGTTAGACTTGAGGGACTTTAGAAGGACTATCTTACCTTCTCCTTCACTGTGGCGACTAGAGATATTGCAAGACCCATTCTGAAAAAATAAAGCAAGCAGACAAGTTATCAAGTGTTACTGTGTAACATATCTAGGAATTATACCCGGTAAGTATTTCTAAAGATTCTAACATGCTATGTAAAGTTTTAGCAGGTACAGTCAAACCTTTTCATCTGGAACTCGATGGGAATTATAATGTTATATCCGAGATTAAAAAACATTAAAAGTGGTTTCGACTGCCAAAACACTTTGACATATCTCATGCATTCATTGACAAGATAACAAATTTCAACTGTAATTTTCATGAGGTTGCAACTTAAATTTAGCGAATTTCAAAAGAAGACCTTTCTTATCTCAATTTTGTAAATAGATTGTTTGATTTTCAAGATTTACATAATTGGCTAATGATAAGATTTTTAAACTTATCATTTATCTATTCTTGTCAAGACCTACCCTCCAAGGCTCTAAGGAGAATTTGGGAGCTTGAAATTCAAACTAAAATGAAATCCATTTTCATTCCTTTTCAATCCACTATATAACATGATAATTATCCCTTCATCGACAGGTGAAATTGAGTTACAGCAGCAGGGTACCATAAGGTGCCATAACAAATTGTACAAACTCTATTAAACAGGATAAAAAAACTGATATTAAGGTGACAGTGGGTTACTAGATTTTTTTTCCCTATGTGATAAACTGTAGGTATAAATCTTAACAATTAAATCTCGTCTTCTGTCATATTTCAAACACAGTATATGGCTTGTGTTCAGCAATTATCTTATGTATGTTTGACAAATATTGAATATTAATCCAATCCACATATATTTCAGTGATGAAAATAGATTTTATTTTGATATCAAATATGCATATACAATGTTTTATAAAAAAAATAAAATCTGCATATATAAAAATATGAAGAACAAAAGCAAATGTCAAGATAAAATCATTAAAATTACACTTAAACGAGTTGACTGGGGTTTTATTATGCAAAAACTACAATAGAAAAACTCTTCTTTTTAATATCATAAAACACAGGTTCTTTCCTTTGGGATTATATGGGTAGGTAATAAGTTTTTGCACTTCAAAGCAAATTTTACGAATTTACAATAGACTTTTTTTTGCTGAAATTATAATATGAGTAATGCTATGTTGTACATTATATAGGAAACACCTAATGATATTGTCTTATTTCCAGAGGGGGCACCTCAAAATGTAAACTAGAAATATGTCCATAGGACATGAATGCCCCGCCGAGGGTATATTAGTAATGCAACATTTTAACACAAATTTAGAAAAGTGAGGTCAAGGTCAAAGGAAAGGTCAAGGTGAAAAAATATTGATGCAGTTGAATAGCTTACATTAGTATGTATCAGCATATGAAGTTTGACACAAATTTAAGAAAAGTGAGGTCAAGGTCAAATGAAAGGTCAAGGTCAAAAAAAAATTGTTTATGCAGTTGAAAGGTTACATCAGTATGTATTAGCATATGAAGTTTGATAAAAATATTATGAATGGTTTTAAAACTAAGCTAAACACTAATTAAAGAAAAGTGAGGTCAAGGTCAAAGGAAAGGTCAAAGTCAAAAAATATTGATGCAGTTGAATAGCTCTCATCAGTATGTATCAGCATATGAAGTTTGATAACACTATCTTGAATGGTATCTTTAAAACTGAGCTAAAAACTTATTTAAGAAAAGTGAGGTCAAGGTCAAAGGAAAGGTCAAGGTAAAATATATTGATGCAGTTGAATAACTTACATCAGTATGTATCAACATATGAAGTTTGATCACATTGTCTTGAATGGTATCTTTAAAACTGAGCTAAACACTAATTTAAGAAAAGTGAGGTCAAGGTCAAAAGAAAGGTCAAGGTCAAAAAATGTTGATGCAGTTGAATAGATATCATCAGTATGTATCAGCATATGAAGTTTGATAACACTATCTTGAATGGTATCTTTAAAACTGAGCTAAACACTAATTTAAGAAAAGTGAGGTCAAGGTCAAAGGAAAGGTCAAGGTCAAAAAATGTTGATGCAGTTGCATAGCTCTCATCAATATCTATCAGCATATGAAGTTTGATAAAAATATCTTGGATAGTTTCTTTGAAACTGAGCTTTGAACAGAGCTAAACACAAAGTGTGACGGAAGGACAGACGGAAGGACGGAAGACGGACACGACAAACACTATATGCCCCGGCCATATTAATGGCGGGGCATAAAAATTATGAAATTTCCCTGTTTTTATGGAGTACTAAAAATATTACAGATATTAATGATATCGATTTAAACAAAAAATATCAGAAAATAATTTAAGATTTTCAATTTCCTGTGGTTAAAATTTCAAGAGCATATATATTTTAAACTTCTTTTTCCATAACATTTATATGAACCCCTTGTTGAAGAACTTTAGTTCATCAAAATGTTATAAACACACTATTATAATGTCCATCTACCAATCAGTTGAAAAATCAACAATGAATGTGTCACTTAATTACCAGAAAAACCCATAGACGGCGCTTTTATCCACCTTACCTTTCTGCTCTACCCACTCTCCCAATCCGATGGATATAGTTCTGCTTCTCATCTGGGAGTGTAACATTAATAACTGAAACAGAGAGTGTATAACATTAATAGCTGAAATAGACAGTGTCCAATCAGGGAGTGTATAACATTAATAACTGAAACAGATAGTGTCCAATCAGGAAGTTATAGCATTATAATTAACAAGCATTCTGAGAGTATTGCATTAGCAATACTAGTCCCCTACCAGCAAGTGTAATCTGGTTCCCGTTAAGAATTGAAAATGCTATAATTCCGTCAAAAAATCAATGAAATGAGACGAAATGCAGACAAGATCTATAACTAATTAAGGTAAAGTCAATTACCAAAAATCAGCTCAATATCTAAAAGTGTTTTAAAAGAAAATTGCAGAAAACCCCTAAAAATTGAAAAGGCCGTAATTCTGTCAAAAATCAATGAAGCGGAACGAAATGCAAACTTGATCTGTAACTCATCAAGATACACTCACATACCAAAAATCAGCTCAATATCTGCAAGCATTTATGAAAAAAGTGTGGAAAACCAAGTGGGACAGACAGACAGGGACAGACGGACGGACAGACTCAGAGGAAACCTATAGTCCCCTCCGCTTTCACCGGTAGGGGACTAATAACTGAACAGATAGTATCTAATCAGGGAGTGTATAACATAAATAACTGAAAGATAGTGTCCAGTCAGGGATTGTTACATTAATAACTGAAACAGATACTGTCCAATCAGGGAGTGTAACATTATTAACTTAAACAGACAATGTCCAATAAGGATTTATAACACTAATAACTGAAACAGATAGTGTCTATTATAATGATGATTTTAGTTGAAAAGAACCAGTTTGAAATTATTAATACAGTTTGCATATGACTTGCCTAAAATTTTTAAAGATTTTTTTCTACATATTTCAATGTAAAAGTTGCATTTCCTATTGTGGCCCCACCCTACCCTCGGAGGTCACAATTTGAACAATTTAGAATCTACACTACCCTGAATGCTTCCACATAAGTTCCAGCTTTTCTGGCCCAGTGGTTTTTGAGAAGATTTTCAAAGATTTTGCCTATATGTTTTAATGTAAAACTTTGATTCCCTATTGTGGCCCCACCCTATCCCCGGGGGCCATGATTTGAACAATTTAGAATCCACACTACCCCAGGATGCTTCCACATAGGTTTCAGCTTTTCTGGCCCACTGGTTCTTGAGAAGAAGATTTTTTAATGACCCCAACCTATTTTTGTCTTTTCTTAATTATCTCCCCTTGTAAGGGGGGTTGGCCCTTCATTTTAACAATTTTAACTTCCCTTCACCCAAGGATGCTTTGTACCAACTTCGGTCAAAATTGGCTCAGTGGTTCTTGAGAAGAAGTTGAAAATGTGAAAAGTTTACATACGGACGGACAGACAGCTAGACAGATGGACGAACGACAGACAACAGGTGATCAGAAAAGCTCACTTGAGCTTTCAGCTCAGGTGAGCTAAAAATGGTTTATAGTTAACTTTCACATTATCTCCCTTCAGGAGGGGTGAGGTACTAATTAAACGACATGAACTGCAAAAGGCATTGTCTCTAGTCATTCTCAGTTTGCTAGGATTCAATGAAAGATTTATGGGTTGGTTGAACACCTTAATTTATTTCATCTTAACAAATGTCAAACCAATAGATTTAATCTGCCATTGAAAAATGATAATTCATACTTCATGACATTCCCATACCGTATGGTAAACCAGTGATGTCAATGCCCCTGGCTGCTACGTCTGTACAAATCAGATACTTCACTTTATTATCCTGTGAAAAAAAGGAAAACACTTCAGTCTTGTTTACAGTAAATTAACACTGAACGAAGAAATACACTTCCATTTTTGTAAAGTTTATGAAGATATGACCTAAAACATTTCTTTAGAACAGATTTCCTCAGGCACATTAGCACCTCAAGAAAAAAATAACACTCCTGTGAAAAGTATATGGTCACAGTGATACTGCATGCTTATGAAATATTACAGCTGATATTCACTTCTTATATATTCCAATGATATTTTTTTATGTGCAGTACAACATAGTATAGCAAATCACCACGGAAGAAAAAATTTCTGTATTATATCAGTTATTTGTTAAATGCAGATGAACATTCATCATTTTATTGTACACAGTGAAAAATTAGGATTTTTATCAATTTAACATGCAAGGCTTATTTATTAATATCTTTCTTTAATAAATCTCTCAGTTGTCAACATAGCCTCAGTGAGTATCCATATACCCTTCAAAAAAGGCCCTAATTCTTGTTCATTCCCATGGAATGCAGTTTTTAGTTGCTAAAAGTGAAAACAATCAGGTGAAAAATGAAGGGAAAAAGAGTTTCTTTTCCCCAATTAACATTTTCTCTGAAACAGCTATGTGGGTGGGTAACGTTAAACATAGAATTTACTTTGGACAGCCCTATTTTAAGTATACTACAATAAAATCTCAAAGATAAATGAATTTTTGCATTTTGTTTTATTTCCCATTATCAATACCGTACCATGGTGTATTTTTATAATGATTAGAAGTGCTTTGAAGGAACTAATATCAATGAATAATGTATTAATATTTTTTCACAAAAAGAGCTGTAAAATATGACAATCATGGATGCAGGAGGAGATATAACATGATAATAACAAAAAATTTTCCATTTTCACTTTTTATCTCTTTTTTAAAAATATCCTCAGTATTTCAAGTTTTCTGCACTCTTTTAAGATGTAGGGCAAAATTGAGTAATCATGATGGCCTTCTTTATAATCAACTAAACACACCTAATATATCTCGTATCATTTGATGCATGATACTGGTAAACTTTGAATTCATAACGTGAAGACCAAAGTCATGTCTAGTCACAATCCTTTTTTGCTCCTAAATTAATTTTCTTTATTCTGAACTTTGCCGTTCTTATTTATTTTACATAATGTAATGATACATGCAACTCACACATACTGAACACTGATTTCAACATTATTTTCAATTTGATCAGCTAGATATCTGTGAGATGGTGACCATCTCAAAGGGTCTTGCTGTTTATTTAGGACTTTATGAAGAGAGAGACTCGTAAAGGAATGTTTTTGGAAAGGATCGTAACTGATACTGATAAGACAGACTAATTATTATAGGGCACCCACAGACTCTAATTAAGGTACCAATACAATTTAGATTTCCATTTTCCTACATCATGCAATGTCTTGTATTCCATATTGCCAGAATTCTCCAATAAAAAAATTCAGTGAATTGTACAAGAAAATATTGTTCATTAAAAAATTACATGAATGTACTATATCTAACATCTATATATATCATATCAGTTCGACTGATTCAAACTCTTATTTTAATTACCTTAAACTTCTGTAAATTTGCTTTCCTTTCCTGTGGCTTTCTATCACCGTGCAAACAAACACACGAGTACTTGCCTGTAAAGGAAACAATTAATCATGAAGTACGTGTTAGAACTAACAAACGTATCATACCTAGTCCTTACCCAGTAAACTTAATGTGTCAGTGGATTACCATATAAAATACTTTTATAACAGGTTTGAAAACAGCCAATGGGTGTTTTCAGCAGCAGAAATAATTGCATCTCCTGTATAATTTCTTGTTAGGCCTAGAAAACAAAAAAATTTTTTTTCTGCTTTCCAGACCAACCCTAATTTTCTGCTTTCCAGACAAACCCTAATTAATAGTGCTTATCCTAATTTTTTTAAAAATAGTTTTCTCAGGAAAGATCTTAATGTTAATTTTCCATTTTTAAGCTGCATATCAAAATTTTTGCTATAAAATAAAATAACAATAATGCTTTTTTAAGCAATACATGTATATTCTTTTGTCATCTTTTTTACTTCAATGATTTTATTAAAAAAGTCAAGGGAGAATAAACAAGCTAATTCAGAGAATTTGTGTCCCCCGCTTTGGGAAAAAAGAAGAGCATGCGCAGTTCGGGGAGGGGGGGGGTCCCCTGTATTTGTAGAATTATTAAATGTATACATGTATATTGAAGCAAATTATAAAAAAGACAATATGGATATAAAGATTTGATTGCTTATTCTTTAAAATGTGTATAGAAGATTCTTTTTAATATACTATAATATACAGAATATTTATCACACTGTAACAATGATTTTATGAGTTTGTACATGCCAGACATCATAACTTTTTCATTTCACATGTTGAATAGCATCATTTAGTGAATTAAAAAAAAACAAACAAACAAACAAAAAAAACATTAAAAAAAAAAAAAGAAAATCATCCGCGGATTGAATCCGGGCCTCTCGCTTGCTAAGTGAGCAACATACCACTAGACTACGGAGGCACTTGATTATACAGCAAATTAAATGCAAATATCAAGTAACATATAATGTTTATATTCACGTTTGATATTGTCAAAATTTTACACAATAAATGTTGTCTAATTTAGCCTTTACTAAACAGTTCTAATAGATGTAATTAGAATATAAAGTCCACCGACAACCTGTATCATACGTAATAACTCTCAACATACCCCTGTGCTAAAAATAGAGCCAAGCGACTTTTAATACAATAAATAAATAAGAAAAAACAAGGCGGGGCACTTTTAGAGGGGCGAGAGAGGCCATAGGGAGTTATGGAATAAAATTTCATTTCAAAAGCTCAAAAGCTTTTTGAGATATTGCCCAGAAACAAAAGTGTTACACACAGATGGAATTTATAAATTAACCACCTTGAACTTTAACCTTTTGACCTCAAAGGGGTCTTCCTTAGGCACCAGGGAGTTGTTTTGTAAAATTTCATTGCAAAAGCTCAAAGAATTCGCGAGATACAGCACGGAAACGAAAGTGTTAAAACAGACAGAATTTATGAATTTATGACCTTGACCTTTGATCTCAAAATCAATAGGGTTCTTTTTTTATGCCATAGGGATTTGCTATGCAAAATTTCATTGCGAAAGCTCAGAGGGTTCTTGAGATATCGCGCGGAAATGAAAGTGTTACAGACAGACAGAAATACAGACGGACGGATGGAAGGACAGACAGACAGACCCAAATTAATATCCCCCACTTTCAGTGAAAGTTGGGGACAAAAAGTGCTATACAAAAAGTATATGATTTTCTGACCTTGATCTTTGACTTTTTTGCCTCAAAATCAATAAGGGTCTTCTTTACAGTAGAAGGAGTTGTGATATTTAAATATGCTGAAGAAATCTCAAAGACAACTAAAGTTATCATCTGGAAATTGTTATTTATGATGTATGACTTTCTGACCTTGACCTCTTGGACCTCAACAGCAATAGGGGTCTTTGTTAGGGCATAAGGAATTTTACTATTGTAATTGCAAAAGCCCAAAGGCTTTTCAAGATATAGTCTGGAAACGAAGATTCTTAAACACAGACTGAATTTATGACCTTAACCTTTGACCTTTTGACATCAAAATCAATAGGAGTCTTCTTTAGGCCATATGGAGTTATGGTATAAAATTTTATTGCAAAAGGACAAAGGCTTCTTGAGATGTCATCTGGAAATGAAAGTGTTACACACAGACAGAATGACAGACGGATGGAAGGACAGAACAGACCCAAATTAACACCCCCCTCTTTCTGTGAAAGGGGGGACAACAAGAGGTACTGTGAATGAGGGACCAAAATGTGAAAAGTTTACAGAAAACACAAGACTGACAAAAAAGACAGATGCTGGACACTTTTCGCCTTCAGCTCAGGTGAGCTAATTATGGACTGGACATGAAATTTAAAATATTAGAGTGTCCTTAAACTTGTCCAAATGACTAGATATGAATGCATAGACAGATGGACAGCAACACATGAATAGACCAACAAGGTGACTCCTAAATACCCCTCAACTTTATGTGCTTGTTGTAAACTGAATAATTAAAAGTGGTAAATAGAAAAACTGGCCAACCAATGCATATCCTTGATGTAGTATGTAAACTAAGGCAACAATCTGATTAAAATACAGATCTCTAAAGCAGACTTTGTGCTTCTGTAGAGATCTGTTTTTTTTCAGATTGCTAGGGAAATAAAAAAAAAAATCATGGGTGCATTTGCACTGGTTCCCTACCTCCTCCCCTCTGTTGGAGGTACTTTTCTAAGTTGTCACAGTCCAGCTTGGTCCGGCAGAAGATGAGGGCTTTATCCATCTTGTGCTCCTCCAGAGCTTGAATGACGTACTCCCCCTTTAAAATCTTCACAGCTTCAGATAGGGTTTCTGCAATGAAATCATAATTTGAATATCACTTTATAATTATTCTAAATGAAGTTATATTATTATGTTGAAAGTTTGCAATTGAGAAACCAGTTACTAACTTGCACTATAGTGTTCCCAGAAATTATTGAGAATTCTTTCATAAAATACTTTTTCATTAAGTATTTTATAAAAATAAAATATTTATAGTTCAAAATCATTTTCTAACAAATGACAATACTTGCTACTTTCTTATTTTATATGCAGTTTTCATGAATAACTTGCCATTTTCTTTGTATACTTCCGGTTTATTGTTAATGTTCAAAATAAGTGCATTTCAAAATATAAAGCCTATTCTACATATCTATTATCAAAAATTTGCAAAACTAGGAAAACTTCTGAAATGCTGAGTATTCCACTGTCTACTACTGCTTCACGTTGGACAAAATATTGAAAAATGGAAAAGAATTCAGCTGAGGGGTAGAGCTGTTTTGGCTAAGAATGAAACCCCATTTTTCTACACTTAGTGTTGTTTTTACTGAGCAAATATCCAAGCCTTCCTTGATATGTGAATGTTAGTTAACTAGACCTACAAACTCTTTTCCATAAGTTAATTCCTCTCCTTTTTTAATATTTTGTACCACATAATACAAAGCAGATCGTTAAATACTCAGTGTTTCAGAAATGTCACTAGATTTAACAAACCCTTACTTATACATAGCTTATATAAGCTTTCTATTTCTATATAGCAATAATTTTAAACATCTGCTGATTCAACAGACAACAAAAAGCATATAAAATAAATCGTTAGCTATCCATGAAAATTGCATGTATCATTAGAAAGTAGGGGGTATTATCATTAAATAAGATAGCAATGTTAAATTATATTGAATGTTATTAATCCAAATTTTAGATCAATATATCATAACAAAATTCTCAATAATTTCTGGGAACACTACAAATCGTCCTAGGTATTTCATAACATGTTATGAACATGCAAACATAAAAAAATAGCAACTGTGCAGGAGTGAAACACTGTTGATAATCATGGGAATATGCAAGTTTGATTTCACAAATATTAGAAATTATAGTTAATGGGCTGTTCTCAGATGATCTGCCAACAATCCTTTTAAAATAATTTTATGGTTCTTATAAACCATCATCTTTTCTTCAAAATAGGAACGTTCCAAATTCGGACTTTTTCAGTGTCCGTGTAATAGATTTCTAAATCTGGGAAATTTTGATTTATTTATGGTACATGTACATGTGTACCTAAGGAATCATATGAGTGCCAATTATCCGCAGTTTCCAGTCCTTTCTAATCTCAATAAAATACTCATCAATATATTCTCGTTGGATAAGCATCACGTATATAGTGCTCAAAGGGAGACTCCTATCATTATAGGAAAGCATATGACACAAATTGACACATGAATGATTGTGTGATCAAAGCATTTATGTTTCATCCCTGATTCTGTCCAAAGGGAGAATGACCTTGTGGTCCATAACATGGCATTTTCTCTGATAAGGAAAATTTTCCAACAGGTGGCGAGATTTGAGTAGAATTATTGTTCAGGATGGTAATCATAAAGATTTGGTGTAAATTAAATTGTCTTTTATTATATTTATATTAAATTTGAGTAAATTTATTGTTCAATATTATTATAAAAAAAAATACATATATATATATAAACACTTTTGGCATGAAACTGTACATATATATATATATATATATATATATATATATATCTATCTATCTATCTATCTATCTATCTATCTATCTATCTATAAAAAGCACTAAAAACCAACAACACTATCCTAAGTGTCGGATCTACTAAGTAGATACAAGGTCACGGATGGAAATTTATATAAAGCACTAAAAATGACCAACAACATGAACAATAATAATTGTCAAATTTTCGGGACAACCTGTCCCTTCCTCAGGACAAAGAAAAAGTTAAGAAGTCATAAAAACAAAGGAAATAGAGAAGCAAAAACAACTAGCACTACTACTAAACTACCAAACACTAAATATTTACAATGTTACATGTTTAATTTGGAGTTTATAAACAGTTGTGAACAAAGAAATCCGGAGCGCTATGAATTGCGTCCGGTCTATCGGGTGTAGTCTGGTGAAGTGTGATTTACATAATTGAACGAATTAATTATCGCTAATTAATTATGGCCAACAGTAAATCGTACATTGTCTTATTCTCTCAAAATAGCGTAACTCTACATGATAAAAAGAAAATAAAGAAAGATAATATTGAAGGACAATTTTGAAATATGAATTTGGATATATTCTAAATTTGGAAATCGGAAAAAAGAAATAAACAAAAATGTGAGCTGTAAATATTTGGGTACGTTGTTCCAGGATTACTAATACGAATTAACGGTAAAGTTTACACTATATAGAGAGAATGAACTTGTTTGTTACAATCCGGGATTGGGTCTAGTTCACGTTCATCCTGGTGAAGTCATTAAGTTTGTTAATACCATTAGGGCGGAATGACTTCAGCCTGTGCATCCAGAACTTTTCCTTGCCTTTTCTCTGCGCATCTGTCCATCTTGGATCATGGTCAATAACCACTACTGTCATGTCCTCCCATTTGTGACCTTCAAGGTTGAAATGTTTCCCAACGGGTTCATTGAGTTTTTTGGTCCTAATGGTAGAACGGTGATTATTGATCCTCCTGCGGAGATCTCCTGTTTCACCAACATACTGTTTGGAGCAAACTTTGCAACTGATGAGATAAATGCAGTTGTCTGTTTGACAGGACAAATTCCCTAGTATTTTGTAGTTGTGGCCTGTAACGGGGCTGTTAAAACTGTCTGTGTCAGAGCTGTACTTACAGAGAAGACATCTTCTGTCAGAGCAAGTTTTAAAGCCCCCGTTAGGTAATGGATTGTCCAATCTGGTTCTTACTACCATGTCCTTCAGGTTCCTCGGTCTGTATGCAGCCAATGGGGGCTCCTTAAAGACCTCTGCCATTCGTTTATTTGAGTGGAGAATTGGCAGATTCTTTTGAAGGATACCGCTGAGGTTCTTAAGGACGGGATGGTACGTGGTTACCAGAGGGACCCTGCCACTATTGTCTTTTTCCTTGTAGCGTAATAGGTTTTGCCTGTCATGTCCCGCCATCTCATCAATAGCAGTTTGTACGGTGCGGGCATTGTAGCCTCTCTTGCATAAGTGGGACTTAAGGAGACCGCTTTGTTCTTGATATAAGGCAGGGGATGAACAGATGTGCCGAATTCTGGTGGCTAGACCCTTAGGCACACCCTTGAATGTGTGTGGGGGATGACAGCTAGTTGGCATAAGATACAGATGGGAATCTGTGAGTTTCGTGTGGAGACTGAACTCGATTTCACCATCAGTCAGGGAAGATGTAGTATCTAGGAATATGTTTTTCGAATTAGATACGTCTACTGTAAATTTGATAGACTGATGAAAGGTGTTGGCAAACGAAATGAATGCCTCGAGGCTCTCGCGACATTCCACTCACTTCATCTCTATATCGTCAATGAAACGCAACCAGCTAAGGGGCCTAAATGGTGCTTGAAGTAGCAAGTTGCGTTCCAGTCTGCCCATGAAAATATTGGCATAAGATGGTGCCATTTTCGTACCCATAGCAGTGCCATTAACCTGCAGGTAATGTTCTCCATTAAACATGAAGTTGTTATACTTGAGAACATGTTCAAGGAGCTTGGCAAGGGACTCGGTAGAAGGAATTTGTATGGATCTACTATCCCAGACTTCTCTACAGGCTTCGATACCCTCATCGTGCGGAATATTGGTGTACAAAGATGTGACGTCCATAGTCACGAGAAGGGTATGATCTGGAAGGCCAGTAGAGTGCGTCTTGTTAATGTAGTCCGTGGTGTCCTTGAGATAGGATGGCAAATTCTCTACGTGTGGACGGAGATGTAAATCGATGTATTCAGAAATTTTCTCCGTGGGGTGTCCAATAGCGCTAACTATAGGGCGACCTGGCATACCTTCTTTGTGTATCTTAGGAAGCAGATAAAATTGTCCTGGTCTACAGTCAATAGGATTGAGTGTCTCATAGACGTTGATACCAATCTCGTTTTTCTCAAACATTTCGTCAAGAGTTTTGGTGATGGCGGTGGAGAATTCTTTAGTAGGGTCAGAGTCCAGTTTCTAATAGAAACGTTCGTCTGTGAGTTGTCTATGGGCCTCCGCCATGTACGTTTCTTTATCAAGCACTACTACTGTAGAGCCTTTGTCTGCTTTCTTGATTACAATGTCATCCCGATTCTTTAATGATTGTAAGGCGGATCTCTCTTCCTTACTCAAATTGTCGGGAGCCTTGTCTGGCATTGAAAGGAGTTTCTCTATGTCTGACTCAACGGCATCAATATACGACTCAAGGGCTCCGCATTTGCCCGGTGCAGGTTCCCAGTCACTTTTTGGCCGATAGAGTTTGTGTTCCTCTAGGTCGTGCAATTGTGGCTGAGAAGAGTCATACGAGTCAACTTCGGAGTTTTTTCTAGTCTAAGAAAAATGCTCCTTCAACCGAAGTTTCCGAAAGAAAGCTCGGGTGTCCTCTCTGACTTGTTTTTCGTCGACCTCATGTGGCATGGGACAGAAATTCAGCCCCTTGGAAAGAAGTGAGGTCTCCGATTCGGAGAGAGGAACACTAGATCTATTGAGCACTGGGCAGACGTCAGTAGTTTGTGAGGGTCCGTCCCTCGCGATTGTCGTTAAGCGCTTGAAGCGTCTCGAGCGGTTCTTACGTTTTGTTAACTCGGACCTCTGATCGGTTGTTCCTGGTCTGTGGAACACTGTCTCGGAGAAATTTCTTTCTTTGAGTCTTGTTGAGTTCATTTCTTTTTATCATGTAGAGTTACGCTATTTTGAGAGAATAAGACAATGTACGATTTATTGTTGGCCGTAATTAATTAGCGATAATTAATTCGTTCAATTATGTAAATCACACTTCACCAGACTACACGCGATAGACCGGACGCAATACATAGCGCTCCGGATTTCTTGTTCACAA